TACTTGTTTAAAACAAGAAATTCTGTTACATAGTCCGTTAAAACAACAAATTCCGTTAGTTTTTCCGTTAAAAACAAGAAATTCTGTTACATAGCCACTTTTAATATATAGAAGATATACATATATTGTCCTTTTTTATCTTTGAATTGCAACAAATTGAGACCATATAAAATAAAATTGAACTTCTAACGGACCCTAAGAAATGTTAAAGGTGGATTTCTTCGAAAACCATAAACAATGCAATTTATTTATTTAAATGTTTTCTATTTTTAATTTTGAAGATCTACTTACACACATCTTTATAGCATCGAATTTGATTGTGATACCATCAAGCTTATGAATAAAGGCACACTTGATGTAGACATTTTTGAGTACATTTTGTAAATTGATTTTATTTGGATGCGTGGTTATAAGGTTGGAAAATATTATGATTCCTCGTGCAAAATTATTTTATTGAAAAAATATACGATTGGAAATAAATTTGAAAAATAAATAAACTTAAAAGGATTTGTACTAACAGAGACTAAATTTTATCTAAAAAATAAAAATAGCAGAAGTTCAAATCCTTTTTTATGGCCCAAGGGTAAGAAACACTATTCAACAAACAATTATAGATGCATTTAATTCACAAGATATCATATATCCTTCTTTATTATGATTACGAGAAAACTGATTACTCCATCCCTCCCAATTATATAGGCTTGTTTTGTTTTCACATGGATTAATAAAGTTTCTTTAATGTAATTGGAAAATTAATTTTTGTCAACATCTTTCCTAATTTGCTCCTATTTAATTTTCAGTATGTTAAATTAAATTATTGTAGGAATTAATAAAGAATTTGAATGATGTAATTTGATGAGAGTTGTTCTATGTTTCCAACGAGTGGGAAATGTGTTAATTTGGATGATTTCAAGAAGTTCGAAGGGGAAAATTTAATAAGGGTATATTGGTAAATGAACACAACAAAATATTCTATATCAGGAAACATGCCTATATATTTGGGACAAGCAAAAAAAGGAAACTCAATTTATATAATTGAGACAGATAGAGTATACAACAAAGCAATTGATTCCCCTTTATCAAAACAAACAAACAAACAAAAAGTTATTTAAAAATAAAAAGAAAAGAAAGCACGAACAAAAAGATAATGACAATGATCAATCATTTGTGGTTAGGAGGCCACAAAAATTATTCGTTATATAAAATTTGAATTTTAGTAATTATTTTCATAAATGAAAGTTTGGTGGTGTTTGATAGAAGATAATGTTAAATGTAGCGAAGGAACCAAGTTATTAAGTTTTATTAAACATTAAAATTTTGTGAACAATTTTTTTTTTTAAACCAAATGTTTCGAATTAGTATTTTTTTTAATTTTTTTTCCAATTTATTAACAATGCAGAAGTCCATCTCAATCGAAAAATGAATGCATTTTTCATATATTTAATTGAGACAATTTAACAGAAATATTATAATAGAAAAATGGTATTGCCAAGTCTGCAACATTTATAGTTTAACTA